TAATTATCATTATTTTTGATAGAGAATATAATTATAAGTACTGAGAGTTTGGTATCGATAGCTTGAAAAAAATTAGTTCCCCATACAAACCCCCTTTTAAGGGTAGTTTTGAAAAATTAGTTACCACGTTTTTAATTACTTTTAATAAAGAGTATTTACTGTGACTTTGAAAACGCTACTATAAAAAAATAACGAAGTTTCATATAAATTTTCAACCCCAATTTTGCATCCGTAATTTTAAAAAAACCTTTCTTAGTTTTTCTTATTTCTGGACTCAACGGTTTCAGTCAGTGGAACAGTCTGTCAGTTTCTTTTTTTATAGATTAAGAAATATTTAAGTATGTTACCAGCAGTCTGGTTGTCATAGCACAGGCTTTGCCTAGTTTGGGATCAGACTGCCATGTTGTTATTATTATTAGTTGTTTTATGGTCGATGTTTAGAGATGTACATAACGTACGTAAAATCATTTAATATGTTTAAAAGTCGCGTGCGCGTGCCTAGTGAGCGCCCTTGGGATACAATGTGCACAGTGCATGACACATTGTGCGGCGATCTATTGTCCGGTAAAGTATTAAACAAAGCAAAGCAACCTAATGCGCGACCCGCCAGAACATAAAACTAAACCAGCTTGCCTATGACGTAAGTATGCCCACCATTTTTAAGCTAATTCTATTCCTCTTTGATACAAATGATTTCATAGACTGTGCCACAAAAAAAACTTCCAGCTTGAGATTAGCGAGTAGTGTTGGAAGTCATTGTACATTTTAATAAAGAACAAGGTCGATTTAAGCGAGATAAAAACTATGTTAAATAAAATGGTTATGATGATGACGGACGAACATTTGAATTAATATTCAAATGGTTCTTGTGGTGTGTTCTATGATTCAAAATTAAATTTACGATAGAATTATTAGGTGAACTTTAATTTTCGCAACATGAAAAAAGAAAGGAAGAGTTTGAAGGCGCTCTTACAAAACCTTTAACATGGTACGAGAACAGAAATATATAAAATTAAACTTGGAGTAACAAAACTGGAGAAATACCGTGGGAGTGTTGAGTAGGAATCATTACTATAACTTTGAGTATTAGTAACGCTGACTATGTCGAATGGACTATTTTTTAATAGGTTTAGGTTAATTATACCTACAATTATATTTACTTCCACCAGCATTTGAGGAATATTGCTGAAAGTCTACCAGATCAAGGCCGCTTATAGATTTTAGAATAAGAGGCAAGTGATATGAGTTGCCTAAGTCAAGCAGATGTTTAAGTATGAGAAACTGCGAATCTATAAAATGAGTGAAAGTAGGTTACTAAAACTTAAACTTACGGGTCCGATAGTAATGTAGACCGCTGAGGTATAAATATTATGTTTGACGTAGTCATTATGGACACAAGAACATTCGTAATAGGTGGTTATAAGTTTTAAATGCTACATTTGCAAAATAACCTGGTTAAAGCCAGCTGCAAAAGCAAACCGGAATAGCAGAACAGCTGTATAGCGACATATATACGACATCACATTTGAAAGACACATGGACACAAATGTTGAAGGTAGTAAGCAGATAAAAAATGTTGACCACATTACTACAGTCGACGGAGGCGAAACTTGAGTAGAATGAGAGGTTGGGATTCCATGTGTTTTCGTTTTCTAAAACTTATATTGTTTAGTTCTGATCTAAGGCTTTCCTAGTGTGATGAAAAGGCTTATTTGTCGTTTCAATTGGATAAAATATTTGTCAGGGATTTGATAAGGTTTATTGAAGAAAATGATGATCATGTAACATTATTCTACGACTTGTAGAACAAGAGTAGTGATAATTCAATTAAAAGCTTGTCAAACTTATAAACTGGTATAAATTGAGCTATAGATGATTTCTTACGACGACGAGACTATTTGATCACCATTTTACGTTCTACATAAAAGAATTATTTTTAAGAATGATGCTTTGTTTCATTGTAGTATTACCGTAATGACAGGCAAGTTTAATGAGCGCAAACCGCAATAAGACAATGAGGTAAGTTGATTTTACCACAATCTCTTTGACCCAGTAAGAATATTATATTGGTATAACTGGGTATAACAGTAACATTTCTGGTAAACCTTGAAAACAATACGAATTTTGAATATCACGGTATGATTATAATAAAAGACAATGATGATGTGTTTAACGATTTAAAAGCCATTACATTTTTGTTTATTTATTAATTAGTAAATGAAATTATACTGGCTGTCAGTATAATTTCGTGACAATTAACACAATGGTTATGTAAAAATTAATCTGATGTAAAGCTTTGCTTTGCTTTATATAGATAAAATATAAATTTTTAACAAATTTAACAAATTACGAATAGTCTGAAATATTAAATTAAATGCAATTGTGAGTGTTGTTTTCTTTATAACGCTTTTACGTTTACTAAGTACTTAAACGATTATATATAATGAAATTTTGTATCCACTCTTTCAGGGATCTGTACCCTACTAGAAATTATGGTCCTATTTACCAGGACCTAGGTTCTACATTAACACTAGCTAACCAGCAGGCACTTCCGTGTTCCGTGATGGGAAATGGAGAGATAGGCCTCGATAAAAGCGCCTGTTACCAGCTTGCTTGCATTACAGGATGGACGGAACTTACAACGATTCATTTTCAAACTATCTGAATTAAGCTTTTTTTTTTAATATCTTATAACAATAACATAGTTAAATATACTAGTTAAAATGTGTTTTATTCTCCTCATGACATGTAATTTTCTTTGTTTTGGTTGTAGGTGCTAGTCTCAGAAACTAGTTTTGAACTAAAAATTATTTTAGTGTTGGCTAGCCCATTTACCGAGGAAGGCTACAGCCTTTATAACATCACGCACGACCAATAGGAGCCAAGCATCAATGAAAAAGTGAGGGTCAGAAATGTGCTTATGTACTTAGAACCCACAGACATGAACACTATAAACTCTCCTTTGGAAGATAAAAACACTGATACACAAATCATTCAGTGATAATATTACCTAGTAATTTGTTGTCTTAAAATGCTTTCCTTTTCAAAAATTAGGTAATTTACTAATTGTGCAATTTAATGGATTCTGTACTGAAAACTGATAACAAATATGAAAGTTATGAGCTTAGTGACAAATAGAATAAACTATATCATGTTATAAAATTATCAAAGTAGTCATGAGTTGAATCTTGTTTTTTCCTCAGAGCCTTTTTCCCAAATAAGGTTAGGGTCGGCTTTACGTCTACTAGGAAATATCTAATATTCGATTTTTTATGTGGAGCATCTGCCATCAGACCTCCACAACCCAAGCACTAGACGATTTCGAAGTTCTGTATGTTATTGGCATTTTTAAGGCTCCAAATGTCCTTAACGATTGCTACAGATGTTTGTATGGCAACCGGGACTAACAACTTTAAGTGGTTCCTGAGGCACAGAGGGGTCTCAATGGGTTTAGAATGGTTAACCGTCCATAGACTGACCTAGCTAGAATTGCTTAACTTTACAATATAATACATAGGTTGTTATTTAACCTACTATTACCTATACCTATTTAAAAAATTGTATGTGTGTTGTATGCTTGTTACTTGGCAATTCTTATGTTAATATATAACAGAATTTATATACCCAGCAGATTTCCGAAGATAATGATAAAGATTGAATTACTAGTATAATGATGAATTTAGTCTCCAGATCTCAATGGGAATAAAAGTTAAGGTTAGAGATGCAATTCATAAGTAAGATTACTGGTGTTATATTGTGCAACTGATGGCAAGTGGTGCATCAAGCAAGTATTCAATATTGTTGAAGTATCCCTCAAGTTAGAAAAATAATAGCAGGAAAACAGTTACAGTTTGAGTAGAATAGAAATGTCTCATTTTTAAGTTCATACTAATAATATCAGACTTGTAAAAATATCTGAAAAGATATACTTGCAGGAATAAATTTCATTTCATATATGTGAACAAATGGACCCCTGAGGTTGACAAAAGCCACATAACTATGTAGGGGCCCTACCCTTAATTTTTCTAAGAATTATCATTTTTGTGATATACAAGTTAATGATATGTTCTCTTGAAAAAGAGTGATGGAAAATATGATACATTCCTTTTAAAAGGTCAATATAAATTATTAAATAAAGGGCATTAAGAGCTAAATTAGTCATGAGATACCATGCTACTTTATCATGGCACTTGGTTATATCACATCTGTTTTCTAAGAATTTACTAGGTTTAGGCTATGAAGTTCACTATATGTGTTTCAAAATAACTAAAAAGAGTAATATTTAACAAAAAAAATTTTTTTTTATAACTTATTGCACAAGTACATGCATCGGCAGACTTAATGCCTAAACCATTCTCTGCCAGTCAATCGATGCATTTATGGGAGGTTAATAAATGATAGAGGATTTATTACAATATATTAAATATTAACATTACGAAGAACGAAATTAAAAATATTTTACATTTAAAAATAATTAGTTACACAGTCAAACTCATGGTCAGTTACAAGTTTACTGTATTTAATTAAGTAATTATTGTTTTACTTTGTAGACTGATGGCAAAAAACTTGATTTCTAATTAAACAAACATCAATTTCACCATTAGTCCAAATTACTGAGATAATTTTTGAGACAACTTGTGAGTGTACGGTATATATTAAAGATAAGGAAAACAATAAATAAACTATGCAGTCATAAAATTGTTGACAAAGCTTATAGGTTATTTATTAGTTGCTTATGCCATCTAAAAATTACTAGGGTGTAAATTTAAAAATGTTAAACTAATATTGTTTTATTGAAGGCATTGGTTTAAAGTGTATACTTATTAAATGTATTACAAGTCATTTTTTTTTAAATTGCTTCACAAAACTAATCAATACTTTATTTCATACATCTGACCTAATCGTAATTTTGCAACTAAATCATACAATTACTTAACCTAAACATATTATGAACGATGGGAAGTTAGAACAATAGCTGGGGGACCTATGATTGTACACACCTTTCTCTTCCTTCCTTTGTATACCATGGCGAAGGCTCCATGCCCTATTATATCTTGTTTGGTGAATTCATATTCACCCACTTGAACAACTTCCATCTTCATCAATTTTCCTTTTACTACAGACATTTTCTGAAGAGTTTATATTTATTTACACTCTCGTACAATAAAGATCAATAACTCATTTCAGGATAATGGATTTTGGAACTTGACTGAGTGCTACATTATGATCACAGTGAGCTACTAATCACTTCCATGGTTCCATTAAAAGAATTATTTTCACTTTGTGTAACACTTAGCTTATCATTATTTTCGTTTTACCAAAACACAACACTCAACTAATGCAAAATGAGTAAAGTGATTTTATTTTGTGTTGTTTTGCGAAGTAGTAGTCAATGTTGCTACTACTGCATACAAAAAACCTACTAAAATTGATGAAAGTGATGTGTGCCACAACTCTATGCAAGATATGATGATATGATTTGACATGATATGACCCTTGGCTTAATATTCCATTATTAATATATGGAGGGTCTATTTTTTTTTAATAATAATAAAAGTATGTCCTCAATTAATTATTTAAATGACTACATACTTTTTTATTATAAAATAATAAAACTTAAGTAACTTAATACGAATCTACGTGTCTTTGGAATGAATTCGGGGTAAAATGGTTTCAGATACTGCAATAGATTAATGAAGTCCGATTTTCGGTTATGGTATTAGTTTTCACAATTATGTTTTTTTTTAAATGTTTGTAATGATAAGAAAAGTTTATCGAAACATGTAAGTCAGAAATAAAAACATTAATCTTGGAATATCCAAGTTTAGTCTTTTCAAGGAAGTTAAAAGTTACTAAGGAAATGGTAAACTTTTATACAATACAAGCAAAAGCCTTCTGGTTCTGTACTTTTTCATTGATTTTAAGTGAATGTGATACGTTAATTAATGTTGACAAAGCAATTGCATATATACACTCGTAGAATTGTGACTTCAATAATAATTTCCTACGCTCATTAAGATTTTAAATTATGTTTAAATTATTTTTTTTTTTATATAATTTTAAAGTAAACATAAAATAATAAAATACAGGCGTATGCGTCTGTTTTGCAATCACTTTTCTACATTGAAAAGAGTAATCTACTATCGTGATAGTAATTACTTGTAGCAACATTTGAAAAAATAATAGTTTCGATATTGCTCCACCAAACCAGACCAAACTGTGACAGCGAACTTTAAAATATACATTGATTGTATTGAATCTTGAATAAAAGGGGCGTGTAAGGATATGTCCAAAATACTCAAAATTGAGGAAAAAGCAAATTTTATATAATAAAAAAAAATATTTACCTTGTTACATTTATTCACAAAATTATACATAATAATAACTTTACACATTGTATGGAGGGCAGAGGCACAGAAGACTAGACATGGAAATTAGTGCTACTTGTAAATCATATTCAATGGATGAAATAATTGGTTTCAGTCACAGCATGTGATTGTGATTTCGTTATAGACAAAGTGGCACTTATCTTTGTCTTTGGGATGCTTTTCAAGATATTTTATAATTAAATAACTTTACTTTTACTACTACCTGTCGGTAAAATATCTACAGCACTTGACATCTAGCACCGCACCAAAAAATTATTGTTTACTTTTTTCGGCTAGTATAAAAGCATTTTTTTTAACTATAACTTATTTTATCGCACATAAGTATAAGGATTAAGCCAACGTTAAATACGACCAAACCATAATAATTAGTTCTCGATTATTGTATCAAAATAATCAAATGAAAGATTCAGGCCAATCGATTCATCTCATTCCTAGATGTATATATAGGTATAGAGATGGTTTGAGTTCCGAGAAAGGACATAGGATAGTTTTTAATCCCAGAAATCATCCTTTTAAGGGAGTTAAAAAGGGGGTGGACATTCGTATGGGGAAACAATAACCGCCGAACCGATTCAAACGAAATTTGATATAGAGATAGTTTGATTCTTAATTACAGACATAGGCTACTTTGTACCGCGATAACCGACATACACGCGGGCGAAGCTTAGGGCAAAAGCTAGTAGATTATAAGTCATGGTTTTTAAAAAGAAAGTACTTAAAACTTGCTCTAATTATTCCGCACAATAATTTATACTACCTATCTACTAAGAAAGAATAACTACATTATAATATTCCAAAATATTTTGGGAAAGAACATGACCAGATATATAATTTTGATAGTGAATCTGATCGATAGGATCATGTAAATATTAGCTTTCTATTCAATGTTTAGTGAGCATGTGTGACTAATGACTAAACATTCTAAAGGCCTCTAACAAAAATAATTAAGGCCCAACTAAATTAAGGTTCACTCCAGATAACTCTACGCGCGGCGAAAATCGGTACTATAGTTCATATAATCTACAAAGAAATTATATCGATATCTCTTAAGAATCGGATATTGTAGTAATCAATTTCTTTAACCCATCCCTATTCTTCAATCTGTGAGAACTGTAAAACGGTACCTCTTAAGCCGCATTTTCGTGTTATGAGTAGGTTCGGACCAAGTGGCCTCGTACGAGCCTGCTTGTATAAGAGTGTGTGGCGACTCCCACATACAAAGAAACCCCGTTTTCCTCATGGACCAACTATGTACGCACAACTAGTTGTGCCATCCCAGAATATGTTCTTAATGACACAACTATGCACAACTAAGCACAACTGATTTACTATAACCATTCCTTTTAGCACAACTACAGGAGGAAATAAATAATATTATTACTAACCTCTTCAGATATTGATGATTATGTTGGCCACCTCTGTCATATCTTTATATGTTAACAAATAGAAAATTATAAATGCCATTTCATGTCATTTACTATCAGTAATTATTTAAAAATTATTGATATATTATTTTCGTGCATACGCTGGCGAATATCCTGACTGTAAGCATGTCTATGTCTACGCCAGAAGACGAAGAACTTATATTCATCGATAATAAAGGTGGAAAGATTGCTTTATACAGCGACTATCAGTACCATATATTTTTGCGCTCATGTCTAACAAAAAGGAGAGTGGTTACGTCGCTTTACTTAGCATTATTAAAATTCGAGTCGGGTGGAATATAACGAAAATTCATTGCGATTACGAAATTGCATTTATCAACGCGGTTACAAAGATGTTCCCAGAGATAAAGATTGTAGGTTGCTACTACCACTGTATGCGCAATGTATGGAAAAAGGCCAGACAGCTTGGGCATCACACAAAAGTAGAAAATAGAATAATAGGAATGTGTGCTGCTTTGCCTCTATTGCCAGCGGATGCTGTAGTTGCAGGCTGGGCCTATATTAAATCCGAATATGAGAATACCAACTTGAAAATGGTAATTTCATCAATTATATAGACAGGTTTATGAAAAAGAGTAACTTTGTTCCCATAATGTCCGTGTTCGGAGAGCGTCACCGCACTAATAACGTTGTAGAGTCATGGCACTCTACCCTAAATAAACATCTAAACAAGAATACTGTGACTTTGTTAAGACTACTAAATGTTCTCATAATGCTAGAGAAATACAATGTTGTTGCAAAAGATCTATGTTCAAGACTCCGGAAAGATGAATATATTATTAAAGACGAATTTATTCACGACGTGCAACTTTAATACATTAATGGACTAATAACATTAGGGCATGCACTAGATAAGCTTAGATGAATGGAAATACCACTGTTTCCAATTGCGCTACCCAGCCATCTCACCTGGGAGTAGACCTCTTTTCGTTTTCTTTTTTTTAAATATCATTAACATATGTATTTAGTATAATATATACCATATTAAATGCTTACGATAACCATAACGATGATTTTTGTACACCGATTATAATTAGTTGTGTCTCTAGGAACTAATATTAATTGAAAATTATTTAGTTGTGCCAATAGGAATGATTTAAAAACAAAAATCCTTATGACACAACTGGTTGTGCACACATAGTTGGTTCATGAGGAAACAGCGAAAGAAACAGAAACATAGTACAGCGTCATCTAACGAAGACACACCGAACTACGTAGTAACTCCTGAATGGAATTGCTAATCCGGTATCGCGCTATGAAGAATTCTCTTGCCGATAGCATTTACACAACTTCACAATATCAACCGTTGGGCCGCGGCCCGTCAGGTATGTTCAGTAGGGTGTCCCGAATTTTTTTAATTCTTATTTTAGCTACTTAAGACCTCTCAAAAGTTGCGCTGTTAGTCGTAGATTAGCGTAAAAATAATTCAAAAAATATTTAAAAATATCCTTAGGGCTCTACCAGCATTTTTATTTACTGAAAATTCGCAAAAACAACCTTGTAGTCAATGTCGTATATTCTATGTTTTATGAATCAATCATAAGAAAAGCCTCGGCTATGATTTGCAAGTATCGACAGGTTGTTTTAGCGATCAATCGGTTTGGATCGGACTTGCAAAATTCCTACAAAATTCATGTTTTGACTTGATTTTCGTACGTGCGCTACTTCTACAACAAGACAGTTCGTCTCATTTCTATTTCGATTTTACTCTTGTAAGGAGTTGTTCTATTCTTCTTTGAAAGAAAAACGTAATTTACGTTACTTAATCATAAAAATGTGTTCAAGGCGAAGTGAGACTACTTGTACTATATTCGGACCTTATAAAGAACTTGACGATCGCCAATTACCTGTTATAAAAGACGTTATTAAGTGCATTTTATTTACTAAAAGTGAATTAACATTTACAGAAAAACGGAAAAGATCCATCGAACACAGAAGTCTTTTCAATGGTTTCTGGAAAACTTAACACAATTTGGACCAAAGCTTCAATTCCCATCGTTTCTAACGTACGGGTTACTCAACTGCTAACCGCATATTTTAACAAATATTTATCACTAATAAGATATCCTAAAAGTAAGAGAAACGATAGCTATGACAACAAAGTTAAGTGCTTTTTGGAATCGTCAAATAAGCTTTTTGACATCGCTGCTTGTAAGTGCACTTCGTTTGAAAATTGTTCCTGCACTAAACCCAAGAAAGTTCCCATTTCTGAAAGAGATTTTTTACTGGACCAAAGAACTGATAGGAAAATGCCAATAAGCGGCGTAGACGCAAAAGAAACTGCAAGGCTTT